AATCACTTGACTTGTTATACTTTTTGAATTTTTATTGCCTAATAACTCAAATTCACATAATTCATATAATTTGCATAATTTGCATACATAATTTTCTATCTTCGCATCATAATCGTGGACACCCTACTGCAAAATCACATGATAATCTTAAAAATAATAGGTTGGATAGTATTCTAAAGTGTGTTGTTTGGCTTAATTACTCATTATTTTTAATTATTAATAATAAATCTATAGATATTTTAATATCTATACTATGTGTGTACCAGATTGTATACACCATACAGATCTTAGACTTTTTAATATCAGGTACGATTTATGATTGAACTGTTGAAGTTAAAATATGGCAATAATCTAGTAACAATTCTTGAAGAACGTCTTTCTCAAATTTCTCATTATTCTAATCTTAAGATTTTCAAAAATAGGGTTAAAAGGTTTAATTGGTTGATCGCATCGAAATATCAAGATTTAATAAAAATAATAATTTTTATCCTGAATGAACTAGTACTTGACAAAAATCTCAATAAAAATTTGTGTGACTTTTTTTTTATATGGATTGATATATACATATAGAGCTATTAGTCAAAATATATCAAATTAGACTTTAACAAATTTAAGGCAAGTTTATTAATCATATATAGATTAGTAACGTGACCAAAATTCAGGAGTCAGAATTGTTAATTTCTTCCAAAATCACCCAAAATTTTACTAATTCAACAGTAGCCCATGTATTAAATAAAGCTGCCAAATATTAATTTTGCTATAGTATAATTGGCTAGTATTATTGTTTAATGTCAATCTAGCTCCAGGCCTATTCCGACCCTAAATTTTGGTTGATCTGCCAGATTTTGGTTGCTTCACTAATCTATTCATTAAGAATAGTTATTTAAAAAAACATTAACTTATTTATTTTTTTTTTATAAAAACCAATTGTTATATAGAGTAGCTTATTTATTAAGTTAATGTCTAAGTTTTCGCTATCAAACTTAAATCTACCTAAATTATATAGCTGGCGATTCCATTTAATACCATCAATTTATCAGTTGAAGCCATTAATAGATTAATCAGCGAGATGTATGAGTTGTTACATAAAACTAATATTAAATAGCCATACCATATAACAAATAAATAATACATAAATTCACAAATGAATCAACTATAAGTAATTTCTTTTTATAAACATTAGCATCATTTGAATGGAAATTATAACAATGATCACTAATCATTTTAATTGTTAAAATTTTCATTTCAAATTCTACTAGCATTTATAATTGTCGAATACCTATTAATGAGATTTTTAAATATTAAGATAACTCGTCAGAATGTTTTCATATCTTTTATATCAAGATTTCAATTACGATCTAATAATAGATCATACCACAGAATCATTTTACAAGAAGCGATAATGAAGATGATACAGCATAAAATCGATCAAACTATAAGCCAGCTAGCAAATACAGATAGCTTATAAAAAGATAGCTTTAAACAACTTAAACAGTACATTTATAACTATTTTCAAAGCATCGAGAATTCGTTATCACAAGATATTAAGAATAAGACAGTCTTTATTGAGATATTTGAATTTGCTTATTTAGAAAATGGTTATAAAGTGATTATCCGTGCATCTCCTAATTATCACAGCCAAGTAGTTTTCTCAGACGTTTGTGTTGAAATGGATAAGTCAGAACAAGAAGATTATTTAATGAATAATGGATTATGTTATATAAAGGTAAATGTTAATTAAATATATATATATATATATTTAACTATAATAACAATAAGCATTTTAATTACGCTTTTAGATTCTTTATTATTCAGATTGCATTATCAAGATTAAATAAAAAGCTTGAGCTTGCTCTCGTTCGTTAGTATAATTTTGTATATCTATCTAATACAAATTGTTATTATTTTTATAAGTGTGCAATTCTTAAACATGTCAAGCATTATATCTTAATTCCTATTACATCAATTGCAAATATAGTACATATCATACCAAAGTTTAATGAAAATAATATTTTTTTTGTAAACAAATATATTAGATGGCTATATGCTAATTAGAATGTTATTTAATAATTATTATTACTTGATCAAATATATCATTTTATCCTCTGAAATTGGATACTTAGCTTTCTTATTTGTAATATTCAACTTGTTAAGCTTTGTAAAATTACAGTCAGTAGTATATGCAATATATTAATAGAAATATTCAAAAATAAAGTTGAATT